GTGTGTGTGTGTGTGTGTGTGTGTGTGGATACCAGGTAATAACCTGTGTAAATGTGTCGCCATGATGCAGGTGTGCACGTACCGAAGATGAAGCTGGGCTATGGCACCACAGGTAAGTCGCAGGTAACTGTCTCTCTCTCTCCCCCTCAGCGGCTGCCGTGTAACTGCAGCGCCTCAGCTCCTCACTTTGCGCCCAGCACGTCGACTACTGACCTACAATACTACCTGAGTACTTCCTAACTACAACTGAGTCGGACCAGCTATATACAGCGCTGGTCCAGTCTCATGGGCTGCCCCGAAACGAACTGGAGCCTCAACTTGAATCTGGCACTACATTCTCGCACCTAACTGCCCTACTGCAGACCGGTACCTGGCGCCTAACCAATTTGTGCCAAAACGGATGTCAGGTGTGCCAAAACGGACCTCAGGCCTGCCTAACCTGGACTGGGTCTGGCGCCTACCGAAATGGCGCCCAGGGCCTAGCCTAGACCAGTGTGCCATACTGCGCAGCCACACGGGCCTGCAGGGCCCAACCAGCGTTCTCAGCCTAAGGCCTGAAAACAAGAGCCTACAGGCCCTGTGTCGTTTTCAGCCTAAAAGCCTGAAAACAAGGGCCTACAGGCCCTGTGTCGTTTTCAGCCTGAAAGCCTGAAAACGAGGGCCTGCAGGCCCTAGGTCGTTTCAGCCTAAAACAGGGGCCTCCAGGCCCTGAGTCTTTTCAGCCTGAAACGGAGGGCCATTTTCAGGCCCTCATAAGATCGACCTGCCCTGAAACTTAGGCACCAGACCAGGGTTTTAGCACAGGCCATTTTTGGCCTGTTTTCAAGACAACCCATGTTTGAACTTCAACGCCAGGGTCTGCCACGTTTTGGCATTGGCAAGAGCAGCCTCCTGGACGGGCCAGCACTATATAAGACTGGCCCGCCCTACAGGCTGCAGACAGTCACGAGGTAGTTCATAGGAACTTCCCAGGCACTTCACGTGCAGGAGGTAGGAGGCAGTCTTCAGGATTCGGCAGCAGCACTCTGGAGGAGCGCTGCAGTAGTAGYAGTAGCGTTAGCAGTAGTCTTCAGCGCTGGGCGCTATTAGGAGCTAGAGTAGCTTTGGAGAGAGAGAGATGGTTGGCGGAGGCCAGGGAGACTTACCTGGGGTGCCATAGCTCCAGCTTCGTCTTCTATGTACCCGCAACAAGGCGCCACCTTCACAGGTTAGTACCGGACTACGGGAGAGAGAGAGAGTTCTTCTTCTTCCTCTCCTAAGTCCATCTCCCCCTCACCCTCTCGCTACCTAAATTCTCAGTATCTGCAGACTACGAGAGAGAGAGAGAGGGGGAGAGAGAGAGAGAGAGAGAGAGAGAGAGAGAGAGAGAGAGAGAGAGAGAGAGAGAGAGATGTGACTTTGGGACTTGATGATATTTGGATCCAGACTCGACATTGGGATTCAGACATTTGACGAGGGATTATTTGGGACCTGTACCGAAGACTTGGTGTTGACGACATTCCCATCTTCCCCTCCTCTTCGTCTAACCCCCCTCTTCTTCGTCTGTGTATGGTTGGGGACCGGCGCATTCTTCCTGTGTGAGCGCCAGGCCCCTTCACACCATGGAATGATGATGATGTATGTTTCGTCAGCATTGCAACATTGATTGTTCGGATCATTGGTATATTAGCCTTCCGCTGCGCTACCTTGTACTATGTGAGAGAGGTCTGTTCTTGTTCTCCTCTGCACCTTTACGGTATGTGACACCAGGTAGTAGACCCTGAAACAACGTTAGGCCTAATCCTAACAGACCTTGGCCCTGGCCCTACCCCTCCACCTACTGGTCGGGCCCTGCAGGGGCCCGTGTGGTACTGAGAATGCCACAAGCCCCCCCTATTGCAGACTGGTACCTGGCGCCTAACAAATTTGTTCCAAAATGGACCTCAGGCCTGCCTAACCTGGACTGGGTCTGGCGCATACCGAAATAGCGCCCAGGGCCTAAAACGGCCCAGACCTAGCTTAGACCCGGTTGTAGACCCTGAAACGACGCTGGGCCTAATCCTAACAGACCTCGGACCTGGCCCTACCCTCCACCTATTGATCGGGCCCTGCAAGGGCCCGTGTGGTAATGAAAATGCCMCCCCCCCCCCCCCTCCTTGAAAGACCGATCCTACCGGTGAGGGCGAAGCTATCTGTCGAAGGGAGGTGCGGAAGTTCGGGTGGGGCGGGCAGGTTGTGAAGCTTCTTTCACTAGTCGTCCCTTCTCGCAGTCGACGTAGCTAAGCGGGGCATATGCTTGCAAGTCTGCTCGTGAAATCCATCACGTGTCGTCACGGTCGCATTGCTTGAAGGTCACCTTGTATTGCATTGGCTTGTTGTCGCGATTGTGATGCGTAATGACCCGATTCTCTTCGTGGCCATCCATAGGAGGGTCTCACGATCGCGGGCCGGGAAAGTCGTCGCTCTTGGCTGGTGTACAAGTAGCCAGCTTTGCTGCGTGGAAGACCGGGTGGACTGGTAAATGCGACAGGATGGGCTGCGTGGAAGACCGGGTGGACCGGTAGATGAGGTGGGATCTCGGTCACGAACGATGGGCCATCGGGCTCGTCGCCCTCAGCTGCTTTGACGGTGCATGGCCCAAACCACTGTGGGCGGGGGTGGGTGCACGGGTGCGGGCAGGGGCAGAGGTGTGGGGGCAGGGGTGCGAGGGTTCGGGCTGTGGGCGGGGGTTGGCCCGTCTCGGGGGCAGGATTGCAAGGG